GCTGAAGGAAAAAGAGTAAGAGTTTTGTCTTTCTGGAATTTAGTAACCTGTGGGAATTCTATGAACTGCTACATTTCATTGCTCAGCTTCATGATACCTCCTTCTTTCACTGTTAGTCATATCTGTGGGGAAAAAAGAAGACTGAGAAATCCAGCCCCTCTTAACCACCACCCATGCTTTTTATGTGTGAGCCATTTATTCATTCATTGAAGAAGTATTGATTGAATATCTACTATCTGCTAAGCATGCTCAATCTTAATCCAATAGCAAAGCTGGAAAAGACTCTTGAGATGTCCCAGTGAAACATATTTAAATGCAGTGACAGAAACGAATAAATAGATAAATGCAGCAAGTAGACAACTGTATGTTTCATTACCTCATATATATTGTTTCATCTGAAAGACAAGTCCAACTTTAAAATACAGGAATAAATCTTAACTTTATGGAATTGTGGTTACAGTTAGAGATTCAGAAAATACATTTTACTAACATAAAAGTATCTGAGGATTTTTTAGAAAGCCTCCTTTAAAAAAAATCTAAAATCACTTTCAAGAAATGTTATACAATTTATGGTCAGGTGTGGTGGCTCATGCCTGTAATCCCAGCACTCTGGGAGGCCAAGATGGGAGGATCATTTGAGGCCAGGAGTTTGAGACTAGCCTGGTCAACATAGCAAGACCCCATCTCTTTTAAAAAAAAAAAAGAAAGAAAGAAATGTTCTACAATTTATAGTGTTGGCCATACAGTCACTAATCTACCTCCATACAATAGACAATAAACAGTAGAAGGTCAGTATATTTCCAAACTGTTAATCTCCTTTTCTGACTAGAGCATGCTTAGTTTTTTTTTTTGTTGTTGTTGTTGTTGTTTTGAGATGGAATCTCACTCTGTAGCCCAGGCAAGAGTGTATTGGCGTGGTCTTGGCTCACTGCGACCTCTGCCTGCTGGGTTCAAATGATTCTCCTGCCTCAGCCTCCTGAGTAGCTGGGATTACAGTTATAAGCCACCACGCCCAGCTCATTTTTGTATTTTTAGTAGAGACAGGGTTTCGCCATGTTGGCCAGGCTGGTCCCAAACTCCTGACCTCAGGTGATCCGCCTGCCTCAGCCTCCCAAAGTGCTAGGATTACAGGCATAAGCCACTGCGTTCAACCACCAAATATTATAGATTAATAATATCACAACTCTGATACCATACTTATCTGTGGATCAATAATTTTTTTTTTTTTTTTTTAGTTACCTGTTAGTTCATTTGTAACACTTCAAAAAACAGACCACATGGCACTTTACTTTCTTTCTCCTGATTTCCAGGAGATTCTGAATTGAAGCTACACTGGGGAGGGATCTAAGTCATATTTGAAAGGGGATGCATATACATATTTGCATGCATACACATAAAACATCTCTAGAAGGCCATGTAGGAGACTCTTGACATTAATTCTCTTGGAGGAAGAGACCAGGTGGATAAGAGATACAGGTGGGAGGTTTTTCACCCTTTGGTAACTCAAGTTTTGATCTGTGTGAATGAATTCTTTACTCAAAAAATAAAAATAAAGATAAATCATATTTGTTGCACCTATTCTCAGTTCCAGATTAGTCTCTTGGTAAAACAGTGTATTAGTTCATTTTGCATTGCTATAAGGGAGTATCTGAGACTGGATAATTTATAAAGAAACGAGGTTTATTTAGCTCACAGTTCTGCAGGCTGTACAAGCATGGCACCAGCATCTGCTCAGCTTCTGGCGTGGCGTCACCAGGGGAAGCTTACAATCATGGTGGAAAGCAAATGAGGGGCCAGAGTATCACAAGGTGAGAGGGAGCGAGTGAGAGAGGGAGGAGGTTCCAGCCTCTTTTAAATACTTAGATCTTGTGTGGATTCATAGAGTGGGAACTCACTCATTACTGCAAGGACAGTCCCAAGCCCTTCATGAGGGATACGCCCCCCTGACCCAAACACCTCCCATTAGGACCACCTCCAACATAGGAGTTCACATTTCAACATCAGATCTGGAGAGGGGAAAACATCCAAACCATATCAAACAGCCTTTGACTTTGGATAATAGTAGTATGAACGTTCCTTTGTCTAGACTCAACAGTCTTATTTTGATTACACAAAATAATAGTTTATATGAATAAATAAAAATCCAGAGTTTAACCAATGAAAGCAAAGAAATGGACATTTACAACATTGTACTAGATATCAATGCACATGAGTTCTGTGTGGTAGATAATGTCAGTTTATTCACATCGCTCTAACTCCCTCCCTTGGGTAGCCACCTCCCTCTCTGACTCTGTGCTTGGCTGTGGGACTAGATTTGGTCAGTTGGACAATACACATGTTGACTCAAGTAGAAGGTTGAAAAATGCATGTGCATTGAGACTTGCCTTCTCTTGCTGCAGGGAACTCTGGCCACCGTGGGAAAGAGCTTGGGCTAGTCTGCTGGGTCACGAAACTTATGTGGCCATTGCCCTAGCTGACATGGAACCAACCTTTGTATCTATAAGTGAGGTTCCCCCTTGACCACCTAGCCTGTTATGTCCAGCATATGAGTGAGGCCATCCTGAATCACCAACCCCATCCTAAACAGCCAAGGCTAAGACAACTATTCAGGGATTGTTTTAAATAGCTCTGTTTTGGGGTGGTTCATTAGGCAGCAAAAGCAAACTAATAAAGTCTGCAATATGCATAAAGATTCATTTAGAAAATACAGCTAAGTAAATCTTAGAGATACTTTAGAAGTTTCTCTTTCACTTAATATGGGGCAGATAGCTTTCCTATCTGTAGAATTACCTCAGTGTTTTAAATGGTCTCATTATATTCCGTGGTAACATGATTTAACATTCACTACTTGATGTATATTGGTTTTATAATTTAAGAGGAGTAATACTGCGTTAAATTTCCCTTAAACCAAAAGCATCCTATATTAAGTTCCTTTTCAGGATAATAAGGAGTGCTAACAATAATTAGCTCACTGCCAGCCCCCCAGTAGGCTCAGTGATGTCTGAATTTCTGGATCACATTTGCAAGCAACATATTCTCCATACTTCATCAAACTCCTAGCTCTTAAGTTGACTTATTAAAGTTTGTTTCCTCTTACATCCTTACATCGTACCAGGCCCTTTTTCACTCCAAAATTGCTCCCATCATTTCCAAAATGGACATATATTCAGGATTCAACTTCAATATTAAGGATTCAATCAAATAGCCAAATTTTGGGCACTGAGCCTTATGATAGCTATAGAACCTTAAAAAGCCATTTCCACATGAAACATCCACCCACACCAATGTCATCAATTTATTTCCTTGTTTGTTAAACAAGAAAGAACAAGAACAGATGACTCACCTACATGTCATTACTTCTTCAACGGATGATGTAGGTTTATCAGTTCTGAACAGCATTTATAGGTTAAAGGAAAGAGAAATTTTCCTTAATTCCAATCTTGCCTCATGTTAAGGGGATATATATCCTGTTTATTTGTATGACAGTTAAACATTATGTCTTATATCTTACATAAAACTAAATAAAGTGTAGCTGCCCAACTTAAAGGGGCCTGTTTCTTGGCCACTGAGAAGTAGCTTAAACTTTGCTTGATCAGATGGTGCCAGAGAATGTGAAAATATAAATTTTTAGAATTCTTTTTCTCTTTTACCATGTTCCTCTACTTCTAGAAATTCAGCTTCATCGTCATGAGGCCGTGTGTCACTTTGGAGGAGACAGCGCCTAAATTCATCACTCTTCTAAGAAAAAAGGAAATGAAGCAGCACAGAAGAAAACTTCTGTTTGCCCCCTCATGTAACACTATATGCAAGAAAATTTTAATTTGAGGGACTGCTGATTTATTTTTACTTCAGAGCCAAAAAGCACAAGAGTTACATCTTTTTTAAATGACATGTGGAGAAAATCAAGCATTCTGAATCATTTTCTTTTAAAGTCTCTTCTGGAGACTTTAAACCAACTCTCAAAGTAGCAACACTTTCTGGTGGATCCTGAAGTTCAGAATCCTATACAGATCATTACTTTTCTCCTCTGGGCTCTGCACAATGGAAGACTGTGAAGAGGAGTATGTGAGGACAAAGACATAGCTGTCACTGGGA